TTTCCTCTACTATCTGTTTTTCTCTCTCTTTTAGGATATGATATAGGAATTTTAAAAATTCATAAAATTTCATTTACCTGTAATATGAATTAAAAAAACTCTGCTATCTATTTTTCGCATAAAAGGTTGGTACATAAAAAACGCTCAAGTAGTATATACAGAGAGAATAATGCAAGTTAAAGAGACAAATTTTCAAAGTATAGAAATGACAAAATATTGAAACATATATATATATATATATGTTTCAATATTTTGTCATTTCTATATATATATGCTCAAATATTTTGTATACAATCAATTATTTTAATCACTAAAAAAACATAAAATAATGTCTGATACAGTAATACTCACCACCGAGATTGGTTTACACTTAAAGCACAAGATACGTTGACGTGGAGCAAATACATATTACTCTAGAAGTCCTAAAATGGTGAGAGTTCTTTGAATTATATAACTTCAATTCATTTTAATTGATAATTTATTTTATTATTTTATTTATAAATAATTTAAAACACCTTAACCCCTTATACTTATAATAATAGCAAGCTTTAAATAAAATGTCCCTCTTACTTGTAAAAATAATTGTTAATAATATCTTACTATAAAATACATCTAGCTTAATCAAACAGGAATTTTTGACATAAATCAGACTAGAAATTTGTTATTTCTATGTTATTCTCTAAAAAGTTCTATTAACTACTTTTCTACCACTGACGGAGTACTAGATATTAGATAGATTTTTATTTATTACCACAATATAGATCTTCCAAAACCACAAGGGAGGGCCAAAAAAATAATAATAATAATAATTGAAGGAAAAAAAAAAAAAACCTGAATATTGTACATTAGGACCCAGTTGAATGTGCAGACAAAATATTCAAAATTTTAGATTTAAAGACACCACATCAGTTCTTTAAATTTAAAATTAAAATAATTTTAATTTCCCATTCAATTTGTACTCACAAATAACATATATAGATTTTTAAATTCAAATAAGAGAGAATTTTTTTGTCAATTGTGTTACAAAAATATTCAAGGGTCAAGAGATATAATTACGTAAATAGAGACCAGTCTATTATGCAATTTCTTATTTATGCTATCAACTAATTGTATTATGTATTTTAATGGGTCATGTCATTACGTGTTAATATCTAATTAATAATTATATCATGTGTTTTAACAGGTCATATCAATACGTATCAATATTTAATCAATAGATCATATCACTAGTGCGTCCATATCTAATCAATTGGTGAGACCAAATCATTAATTCAAGATGTTGTCATCAATATTTTCGGGTGCAGGTGGTGTGTTTCTTGTCTATGGGAAAAAATATGTATATATGTATATATAAAATAGCGAGGCATATTGAGTGAGAGAATAGAAACCTCGGAATTGGAAGAGTCAAGAGAGGCCTTTGATATATAAACTCCACACTTGCGTCGATTGAAGCTTCAACGGTGAATCTACCGGCGTCTCAAGGAGGTTTCTAGTTTTAGAGAGAGAAACAAAACTGAGTTTTAGAGAGAGAGATTGAGGTTGCTTTGTAAGTGACGACTAGGATTGAGCCGATTCAGCTGTAATGTTATATAGTGAAGCGAAGACTTTGATTCATCCACAATATTTTTTGCTCTGCAGTGAAGACATCCTCTGCAAATACTTTTCTCTCTTACTATATTCTTAAAAAATTAAAATCAATGGCATTGGATTCGTTTGTTTGCAGATTAATAAGTATACTTAAGATCTATATATGGAAGACTTTGGCAAATTTACAACACATACCTTAAAAACAAGAATAATTCTTAAGTAACTTTGCCAGGTTTTTGTTCAAAAGGTAACCTTTCTAAGATGGAAAATAATTCTCAAGCCGATTATTTAAAATGGAAAATAATTTTCGGGTCTATTTTTTAAAGTGAATTGCTTGAACTAGAAATTCTGATCGGTCATATATGCAAAATTAAGGAATTGAAACCCTTCACTTTTTTATACTACGGTAAATTCTCCCCAAGTATCTACTTTTACACTCATACTTTGTTTGTTTGGATGTAAAATGTTTTTTTATTTTCTGGTGTTTGGTTGCCATAAAATATTTAATAAAACAACAAAGATTAAAATTTAACAAAAATAACATACGTTTAATGGACTAATCGAGTCGTCCTTAACCTCGACCTAAACCTTTACTAAACATTGCAAAAGTAAAAATAAAAAAAATATTTTACTTAAAAATTATATATATATATATATATATATATATATATATATATATATATATTATGTGGAAACAAATGGGTTAGTCAATTATGTGGACCTTCACTATAGCTCCCTCCCTATAAGTATTATGCAGTTTCATATTAATTTATCTTCATAAGGAGTTATTGCATTACATATTCAGATACTGGGCTTCAAATAGTGCACAGTTGGTGATCGACTGGTTGAGCAGGGTTTTTGTGGACTCAAAAGTACACCTTAGGTAATGTTACTCATCACTGAAGTATTTTAGGACCAAATGAGATGTGTTATTTGTCAGTAATTGCACGTTTTTTCAAATTTGTAAATTATTTGAGAGTTCAAAGCAGCTAACACTGCGTTATTCTTCATTATTAAGAAAGAAAGAAAGGAAAAAGTGTCACTAATAAAGTCTAAAATTATGAATTTTACAATGGAGTTTTGCTACATGATATCAGCTATATGTTAACAAAATGGTGCAAATAAGATTTAGCAAAGCCTCAACATTTTTAATATATTGAATTTCTTTTCAAATCAATATACTTATTAAACACATTCAAGTTATAACCCATCCATATGAGAATTTTGTAGTTGTTGAAATTTGTATATTAATAACTCAAATCAAACCGATTATTTATTTATTTATTTATTTTTTTCCTGATAAGTAAAATATATAATATTAAAGAAGCAATAAATATGCAGGAGAGCCAAAGGCAAAAAACTTAAGAGAACATAAAATCAACCTGTCTTCCTAGTTCCTACTCCAGTTGGTCCTACCCCCATTGGATGAGGCCTTTTCAGTCATTTGGCTAAAGAGTTGGGCCTAAGTGTGTAATAGTTGGGCCTGAAAATATTACTTTTGGGAGAAATATAGAATCCACATATATTTTGGAAATGGGATCAATCTGTGGTTGAAAATTGACACATAACGATAATAAATGTAGTTACGTGACTCAGGCCCATTGGATGCCAAAAGCCCAAAATGAAGCAGTGTCTTGGAATGACTGAACGGTTGGAACCAAACAAGGGATGGACCACTTAAAAGATTCCACATATACTTCACACGCCTTAGGAAAAGTTTTGACGGGCATGCCCAATGACATTTCTAACCATTTCTTTCTACATACATATTGACCAAATTTTATAAAATAATAATTTTATTCTTCTCCTGTATAAAAATATTGCTCTTCCTTTATTTAAAAATTAGTATATTATTGACTTTTATTTTTTCGTCACCACCAAACGAGTTTAGAAAAAATTAAAATAATAAATGTTGAATATAGAAAGTGACCAAGAGTTAGTGGGAGGGTTGGTGGAAAAGGACTAGAGAACTTGCTGAGAAACGGTGGATCTGACAAATTGTTGATTGATTGAATGTTGGCCTCAAAGCTGCGAATAACATATTAACATGGCAACCCCCTTTTCCAGTGGAAAAATCGCACTAAATATACGGAATTTAAGAGGATTCATTTTTTTTATATTAATGTAATGTAATATATACCAACTACACCAGACTAGGGTGACCCTCTCATATAGGTCAACTTTATTTAAATGTGCGGGGATTATACACTTGGCCACGATCTGTGTTATTTATTGTCGCCCATTGATAACAAATCGAAAAAAGGTTAATTAAATTCATTCATGATCTTATATTTACGTGCGGGAAAAAAGTTATATTTTGTTTGAAAGTTTTGAATCGGCACTTTAATTTTGGAATAGAAAAAAATTTAGTTCAAATTTTTATTTTTTATTTTTTTTTTATCTTAAATTAAAATTACCGATTCATAACTTCCAAACATAACATTAATTTGCAATATACCCTGATAAAAAACTAGATCGAATTAGTTTTTATTTCTTTTCATGCTTAATCTCATTACAAGAAATGAGTTTTCAAGCCATTGTTACTTGAATAAGTGATAGGCTATGAAGCACGGACACGGACACAGGTACGAGTACGAGTTGTAAGACACGACATGGATACGATGACAAGGTAAATTTCAAAAAAATAGGACAGGGATACGGTCGGGATACGCCTATGAAATATATATAATTATTTATTCAAATCTACAATACCATAAATCTGACCTCTCCAGTAAAATACTGCAATAAAAAAAATATTTCAATTTATCATCTAAGCGATTAAGAACCAAACAAAATTAGACAAATAAGATCAAGTGCATTTCCAACATATTTAACATGTTTCATTCATCAGTTCGTCGCTTGTGTAGTTGGTTTTTTAAAATTTTTAAAATTTTACTTTAAACATTTAAAATTACATTAGGTACCCTATTTTTTTTTAAAAAAAAATTACAAAACAAACCCGGCCATGTCCTTTGCGTGTTCCATCCATGTGGTACGACCCTGGGAAGGGTGTCCGTGCTTCGTTGGTGATAGGGAAACGTTTTTGACATCAATTTTCCAACCAACTTCCAAGAGCCCTCGTTGAATAATTTCCACTTCAAAGCCACGCCAACGTACTACAATAAAAAGGAATAATTCTCAGAAACCAAACAAGCATTTCCAGTAACTTTCCAGGATTTGGTTCAGAAGGTAACTTTTCTGGGATAAATCTACTTTTACAAGAAGTCAATATCTCCATCAATTTTAGGAATCCAAGAAACTGCTAAGCAACTTCACTATAGCTCCCCATAAATTATTATGCAATTTCTTCGCAATTTCATATTTATTATGTAATTTCTTTGCAAGTCTCGCTTGACCTTTTAAATTATTGTGCATGTTGCAGATCAATTCAAAATTAATTCCTAAGAATTCTATCAACTTTCTTCTATATAAGCTGTTTTGTTATCTTCCATTCATTGTACAAAACAAAAAAAAACCATAGTTGATCATCCAAATTAATGGCAACAGCAACCTTTGCCAAACCATCCAAATGGTTCTCCAACAAGAGTCTCAAGCTCAGCCTCCCTCGCCTCCATTCGAAATCCAAAAATCCGAGCCCTTCCCCCTCTTTTCATGCACCAAAAAAGAGCGCGAATGAGGACAAGTTTCGCGAAGTGTTTCATCACTTCGACAGTGATGGTGACGGGAGAATTTCGTGCAATGACCTAAGAGAATACTTCGAGTCCATAGGCGAGACCATGTCACACGACGAGGCTCAGAGGGCGATAGGCGAGTTTGATGGGGATGGTGACAACTTGTTAGAGTTTTGTGACTTTGTTCGATTGATGGAACGAGACAATGAGGGCGATGATGATCTCAGAAGGGCTTTCGAGATGTTTGAGGTCGAGAAAGGTTGTGGATGCATCACGCCAAATGGACTGCAACGAGTTCTGAATCGTCTGGGAAATGCAAAGTCCTATGACGAGTGTGTGGCCATGATACAAGTCTTCGATCTTGATGGCAATGGAGTTCTTGATTTCCTCGAGTTTCACCAAATGATGACATGAACATGATTCGGTCACATATGATTGGATAGATTAGAGATGTTTTAAAGTTTTTTAAGTACAAGAAACCTTAAAACAATGAAGTTTTAATGAGTTTGTTATGCTTCTGAAATTTGTTATTCTATTGTTATGTAAATTGTGTCTCCCTGTTTACCCTGCATTACGGTCCAGAGCAGACGAAAATTTGGTCCTACCTTGTATTAAATCGAGCACAAATTCATTATGTGTGACAATCGAATCAAATAACTGAAAATACATGCATTTTACACTCTGAGATTCAATCTAAACATGAAAATGGCTAGTGGTTATTTGACAAACTAGCCATTAAATTTACTTCTTTACATGTTGATAACATTTACAACCAAAAATAAATAAAAAAATTGCGCATTAATCTTCAAAAATCGATCTTCTCCATCAAATGTAGCTATTTACATTTGATCATGCACAAGGAGGGTAAAAAAAATGCAGAGCAATTAAATAATTGGTCGAACTTGATCACGATTCATGAGGGATGCCAGGTAGTGTTAATCTGTACCGAGTGTGGTGTTAGTTTTTCAGGCTCGCGAAGCTTCTTGAACGGCTTGGAAAAGTACATAGTTTCAACTCTGGACTCCTGTAATTGCTCTATTGCTCGGAGATGATGACTGTCTATTAACTTCTAAGCAGAGATGAGCCTTCACTGGTTTATGATCGGAGCTGTATATACTGTCTATCGATTCATATGAGTGTAGAGTTGCGTCGATCTTTTCACTGTCTTCTACCTTGAACAATATTCGATCTGTCCATGATGGTACTCTCACCTGTTTTATAAAAACGAACAATTATCATTCATGTTTTTTTTTTTTTTTTGTGAAAACGAAAGCAATGCATTTGCAATATTTTGATATGTAATACCTTGTAACTTGTATCATAGTTGCTGCTTCCAATATTATACTTGTATGTTGGTTTGAAAGCCAGTGTACCCTCACAGTATCCATTGAAAATCTGTCCTCTTTCAGCCTCTTGCAAGAGTTGATCTTTGCTGGTGAGCAGCTGCAACAATAGCCACAGAGAGACGCGACAAAAATCATATTTATGTATCTATATTCATTTTTGGGGAAGACATGCACAATCAACACATAAACACAACACTATTCACTATTGTCCCAAATGGGATTTGATGCCTCAACCTCCCAAGTGACCGGGAGGAGGGGCTAGCTCTAGCGTTAAAATGCTCGTTAAATCCAATGAAATCGTAGGGACAAATTTCTGATTTTTGATATATTATGTTGACGTCGTCTTCTCTAATTGTCATTGCATTTTGGTGATAGGCTATAATGAATAGTGTTGATCTTGCTAAGTCTTATAACTAGAGAAGACACTAGATATAGGAATATGAAAGATGGTTTTTGAACATACACTGTGAAGGTCTTTCTGTATTAAATTTCTGGCGGGAAGAGTGTTGATCCCCTGTACCCTGTAGTTGAGATCTCCCAACCACACGGTGACTTGGGCAGCTCTTGCATAGGGGTTCCAGTTCTTGGAGAAGAGTGAGTGCGATATGTGCCTGCATTGGGAGTTCCTCTCTTCCACATTTCGCGCATGAGCTTTACACACACACACACACACACACACAAAAAAGAAAAAGTGTGAGAACTTGTAAGAAATGTGTACTCGGAAATCAATTCGTGATGAACATACTGAAGGGGAGGTTAGCAAATTCTGCTGAATTTGAACGAATGAAGCTAATATTTATACTTTTCTAGACACGTAGGCTTTAAGCAAAACCGCGTAACAAAACACTAGCATTAAAGCTTCTGTTGCCACAACAGATATTAGAGGAATGAGTTACCGGAGAGATGGCAAGAGATGAACACCAAATGGATTCCTTTGCAGGTGATTCTGACAGCCACAGCCCCTTTCTTTCTCCCAATTAGTCCTCCAAGACCTCCAACAGCATGCTTGTCCACCTTTAATTCTGAAAAACCCAATATTTATAATTTGAAATACGAAAAAACAGCATATTCAAGCAACTACTTCAAAATTGTTCTTACTGAAAAAAAAAATGTTCACTTTGGGGATTAAACCTTACCTTTGATGAACAAGTCCGGGTTCTTCGGTCCCAGCACATATAGATGCAGGGATTGCATAATGGCTTTCCCTAGCAAGCTTCATGATTTCAAAACAATAATAGTAACAAAAACATTAGATCTTCACAATCCTAAAAAATTCAGAAGCTACTAATTAATTCATATATTTACAAGCAACATTCAATAGAGCAAACTCATAAATATACTCTCATTGTTTAAATTATATACCATCATCTGAATTAATAAGTAGCTATAATAATAAAAATAATAATAAAATAAAACCCTTTACACAATTATTTGAATCCGTCAAAAAGAAAGAAGAAGAAAAAATCATTGTTTTTTCTTCATTTTTATATTATATCTATAGAATTTTGAAGGTCCTAGATACCATATCTTTGACATGTGACTAGTATATGAGGTTGCAATTTTACGCAGATTGACAGTAATATATGAGCGTTTCAATGCTGATGGAGTGGATGACACAAATTAATAGACTTTATGTATATGATTATGACTGATCATACTGATTAATTTACAGCTTAGGACAAATACTAAACATCAAAATGAAAAAGATTATAATTAATAAAGAAAATGATGTTGCGTACATGTGAGTATCAGCTAGAGCTTTCTGCAACAACCGCGAAATGTTGCTCCTCGGAACCTCTTGCAGACCAACCACAAGGAGATCGAATTTCCGGTCTCCCCTCACAAGCTCTTCTATATCTTCGTAAGAAACCTTCACAATTCATGCAAGAAAAAATAGAAAAACAATACAAATGAATTATGATCATTATATATATATATATATATATATATATAGGGATGAAATATAAAGAGTCCATTAATGAGCTGAAAGTAGTCACCTGGCCATTCATGTTCCAAGTCACTATGCAAATGCAAAGATCAGAAGTACTTGAGAAGTTGCAGTGATTGTTGGCGCCAACAGTCTTTATTCCTTCATGAGTTGCTTCCATGAAATTAGTTGATGTTCGTATCAACTTGGACCTTTTTCTGCAAAGTATTAAATGAAAACATTCATGTCATATGAAAACAGAGAAAGTGATTGAAATTAAGCTTGAAGAAATTAATAAAGAAGAGAATAATAAAAAGCAATTAATACTTGCCCTTTCGAGATAGAGAAAAAATTTCCCATTATTCTTCTGATAATTTTGTATAATAAAAACAATGTGTTTGAGTTGATGAATCCATTGACTTGAAGACTCGATATGATATATATAGGCATGGAAAAAATGGACTTTTGGCGGTGGAGAGGATAGGTTGGAAAAGTCATAAATTATATGAGATCTCAAATTTTTTAGGGTTTCTGAATTGATAACTACTTTGTCCATGAGTTAGGTTGGGCGTTATTGACAATATCAAGAACTTCAATCTAATTTGAAAAGGACTACTTTGGCTTTGAGTTCACTTCAGAATTCAAATCATTGGTCAGTCTCTCCACAAACGGATAAATTAATCTGTGCCCCATAGAGAATCTTTATGCTATGTTCCGAAGTATGAATTGGGATTTTTGATTGGAATCGGAAGAAATTTAGTTCAAAGTTGAATGGCTGATGCATAATATTAGCTTCAAACAATGTGAATGTGATAATCTAAACTACACAAGAATGAAAAATGATAAGAAAATCGAACCAAACAACCCAGTACAAGGTCGAACTTAACCTGGCTCAGCCACGTCATATTTTTTTTTAAAAACATAACTCATACCTCTTCCTTTCTCTCTCCTCTTTTCCTCTAATTCTCGATTTTTCTTTGATTTTGATTTTGTCTCTCTTTTTAATTTGGCAAAATTGAAGATAAAATAAAAATAAATAACTAAAAAATTTCTTCATATTTTGCAAATCCAGAACACAAAACCAAAACAGAACAAAAAAGTAAAAGAAAAAGAAAATAAAAGCTACAACTGTTTCTTCTCTCCTTCAAATTTTGTATCATAAAAATTAAACAGAAACTTTGAGAAGATTCATCGTTTCTCTTCCCTGAGTTATTTTATTTTTATTTTATTTATTCCGTAGTAGATTAATATGTTTTGTAATGGCAACTCTTGTGTGGATATTTACTTACCAAAAAAAAAAATCTTCTGGATATTTTTCATCTAGGATTGGAAAGATTTATTCTTCAAAAATTTATGAATAAATAAAAGTAAGTGATCTTTATTCTTGGAAGATTTATGAATAGAGAAAAGTAGGTGATCTTAAAAAATGAGCGAGGATAAAGAATTTTGGATCTTGTCTCTAGAATATTTTGGATATGTGTATATCAAGAGAGGGGATGTATAAGAAGAATTGGTGAAGAACCAGATAGAGAGGAGGAGAAAAAATCATAGAGGAAGAGAGGGAAAAAAGGAAAATTTAGGAGAAAAAAGATCAATGATAAGAAGTTAGGTAATGTAGACAAAGCCAAGTAAGATTCAGTGTTTATTTTGATTGAACCTCTATCACTGTTCCACAAAAATGGTAGTTTAGTGATTTATTCTTATCACTGTTTCACAGGAATGGTAGTTTAGTGATATATTCTTCCAAAGTGTAGAAGATAGAGAATTTAAATATTCGTCAGTGAAAAATAGTGAATGAGATTTACCTGTCGCCTGAGAAAAAAATGGGGACGCACATCATTCTGACAAAAGGAAAGATTGAGCTAACCAAAAAATGAAATGATAAGACAAATCACAAAACATGGAACAACCAAATGGATGCAAAATTCAAATGGATGCAAAAGTCAAACGTGTAGCCAACGGCAAATGGGGTTAAACAGCACAATCACAGGGACCCAAAAGAACATATCAAATATATGGGTCAAACACCCTAAAAGCCCAAAATATTTGACACGTCATTTTATTTTTGAAATTGTTAAATTTTGGCTTTATATTTCCAAATTATGAAAGCATGGTATGTTTAATGACGTTGGCATCTACATCGGTATTTAGAATGTGCATTTAATCATCAACGATGATGCAACAATTAAAAATTAAAAAATATATATAATCTATGACTTTTTAAAATGGCATTTAAGCCTTAAAATGTTTTTTTTTTTTTTTTTTTTTAAATACAAAACCAAGATCTTAATATAGTTTTGGTCATTTAGATTGCAACTCTTTAAACAATGCAAATTAAATTCATCTGCTTAATAGTTAAATTGTCTATAATATTAATAATTATATCTATATTCAGTACATTCCTCCCCTTCAATTGATAAAACTTGAAATGAAAAATAAATAAATAAAAAAAATAAAATTGATGAAACTTGCAACGAAAGAAAGAAACTTCAATTACCCTCTTTTTCTTGCTTGTGACGATAACCACGGTAACGAAGGTCTCTTGTCCCCACACGTTTCAAGATGATATAGTACGTGTAGTATTTGTATTTGTAGTGTATTTTGATTCATTAGATATTGCACGTGTCACAATCACAGAGCAAGGACTTTGATGATAATTCAAAACACTGCCCTACTATTCAATGTTGTAATGGAATTTATGATTCCTTTGTTGGCCTGTTCAGACTTCAGGTTGATTTGGTCATTTCCTGTAGAACAAATAAGAAATGAATTTACTTCCTGAACAAAAGTTCGCTTATTTATTATATATACCATTATAATATACGGAACAAATAAGAAATGAATATATTTGTAGATAAATTTAAATAAATAACCAAAAAAAAATACGTATAAATTTAATATACAGACATGTTAGAGATGTTTTTACTCTAAAAAAAATTGAGAGTTTAGAATATGCTTATTCTTTTCATTTCTTCAGCCTTGCATTTTGGTTCATTATTGCATCTAGCTTCAAAGTTATTTTCAAAATCTTTTAGGATTTATTAGGGTAAAAAAATTTCTTGGATGAACTAGAGATCCAAGAGAGAGCTTTTCTCACTCACTTATGACTTGCTTAAACTATTTGAAGAAATTTTTATAGTATATGATTCGGACCTACATGATTTCAGTCAATCGCGACTCGATATATAAATAAATATGTTTGACTTAATTTTTATTTATTTTTAACAAATTATAATGATCAAGATCATTTAATAATTTTACATCTTGACCTACTCAAATTTGGACAAACAATAGACCAACTATTTGACCCCAGACTTTTTCAGAAGAAACAAATCAACTCCAACCACAAAGAACCAAAACTTTTCCAATTGAACCAAAAAAAAAAAAAAAAAAAAAAAAATCATACTGCGAATAATTCAAATTGAAGGTTTTTTTCTTTTTTATTTTCCTACAAATTGCCGGTTATCTGTGCATTCTTATAGACATATAATCAGGTTATCAGACTTATAATCCAGTTTAAAAAATAGTAAATATATATATATATATATATATATATATATATATACTTATAAAAGATGGATTTTTTTTTTTCAAAGGCCTTCTAATGGAGGACTTCTTACGCATACTAACTTTATAATACGGGTGAAATGATTTGAATTCATACTCAGTACATTGAATATTAGGCTTGTTACCATCCAACAGCATTATGTAACTATCTAAGGTAGTTGCAAATATATATATTAATTTTTTCTTTTGCAAAAAATTAGATTTTGGTGGCCGGATATAAAAAAAATTGCTACCATAAAGTCATAAAAATATGAATAGTCACCGAATTAAGAAGTTGAAGAAACATTGATCAGAAGTTCAATTATTTTTGTGGAATTTTCAGCAAGTTTGAGAAGCCAACAACAGACCCTATTTAGAGTCTGTTTATCTCTCTCTCTCAAAGGTGTTCAAAAGCCCCGATCGAACATCAAAGACGAACCCTTTAACAACTATCCAAATCTTTCAACAATGAATCCTAATCGAAGCCAACATCAACAAAGAACCTTAATCCAAGCGAACTAAGAATTGGTCCAGTGAAAGAAATACATGAAGATCCTTCTTATGTGTCGGTGGGTGTGTTTGGTGGTGTTATTAGTTTTAGTGCTGTTTGGCCAGTGCTTTTGTTTGTTTTGCTTTTGCTAACATATTGTAGCGAAACAAAAGCACGAATTATGTTTAATAATATTTGTTGTGCTTTTGAATAGTATCAAAGCACTTTCAAAATTAAGACAAAAATCGGAAGCATGAAAATGATGCTTTTGTTTGCTTCTATGCTGTAGCGAAACATTGTTCATAAAATAAAATAAAAAACATTTTTAACTAACCATTCAAATTTTCAAACTTGCAACACTTATTACCAAATATGTTTTTATATTTTTGCTTCTAAAACTCTTGTAACAAATTTACATTACCAAACAAATTTTTAAATAGTGTTGAACATACACACTATAAAAGCAAGCAAAAGCTTAAAAAGTGTGGTTACCAAACGGACCCATAAGTGAGTTTCATTTGACCTTTATTTACTCCACCGTCTCAAAATAATTGAATACTTTGAAAATTATGACTCACAACTTTGTTAAGGTATAATTCTCATATTTTATTAATGATAAATGAATGAATAGTGCATTCTTGCAGTGAATGAATTTAAATTATTAAATAAATCCTAAAAATAGAAGGAATCCTAATGGTATTCCAATTTTGAATTGTCTCTAAAAAATTATGAAACAATAGATAAATTTTTAATAATTAAACTACCATAACTACCAACTTTTATATTAATTTGAATTCGTTTAGATCTCCAATAAACATTTCAAAAAATTCAACTACCTTTCCGAGATAATGCAATTTGAGGCACTAAATAAGTTGAAAAACGTAAGTCACTGCTAAGTAAATTTAGTAGGTTTTGACCATTGGATTGTTTTAATTGAAAACTGAGCCTTGTCAAAACAATGTGGTAGAACAACAGAAAAAAATCGATAACCTGTCTTACATTTGGTATTTATATAAGGGAATAGCCCGTTCAATAAATGTATTATGTAATGGATATGATTAGTCTAAACTTAAATATAAAATACAATTATAATTAAAAAAATGAGGTACTGTGTGAATAAATGTATTATGGAATGGCAATGGGACGGGTTTATCATTCTCCATTCCAATCCCCGTTTAAATTTGACACCCCTAAAACCGCTCCATAACAGATTATTTTTTTACCCCTAATCCCCATAACCGCCCTCGCCCCATCCTCACGTGTCTCGCCCCTGCCCCATAACCGATTAATTTTGAAAATTCCAAATTTTTTATTCTACAGAAGTTCTATAACAAAACCACATAAATCTTAAAATCTCTAACAGATCCACATAAATTTGATATTTTAAGCAACATTATCCAACATCATCATTAATCAACCAAAAATAACATTCCAAGAAAAAAGAAATTCCAAAAAAATAGCCAAAAAACAACCATAAGAGTTTCAAACAATAGCCTTAATTAAGAGGAATAAAACTATGCAAAACAGTAGCCATAATATAAGCCTAAACATCCTGAATCTGAAATCATTAGGAATATAGAAAGTCTGAAAGAAATTTTTGGAATATAAAAAGTCTTAAAAAAAATATTAGGAATATAGAAAGTCTGAAAGAAATTTTTGGAATATAAAAAGTCTTAAAAAAAATATTAGAAATATAGAAAGTCTCGAAAGAAATCCTTATGAATATAGAAAGTCTGAAAGTGAAAGCAGTATAGTGTTTATAAAATTATAATAAAATATTTTTACTTATTAATCGGGGTCAGTTTTGGGGCGGATTCGGGGCGAGGACCTGAGTCCCCAACCCTCGCCACGAAACCGGCCGAGGTTTTTTTTTAAACCCCCATCCCCACCCCATTTAAGTAAACGGTTCTCCAAACCCGTTTTAAACGGGGCAGGGGCGGGGCGGTTGCCCACCGGGTTGGGGATTTTTGCCACCCCTAGACATCACAATTACATAACAAAAAAAAAGAGCCAAATAAAATTTCTATATTGCATTTATATTAAAGAATAAAAATATTTATAATAATTGAGTTAAAAATACAAATGTAATTAATTGCGTGAGTATATATATTGCAGGGGCGGAGCCAATTAAGGCCTAGAGGGGGCACGTACCCCCCTCACTTTGCTTCAACCTACTATATATAGGTACATATTTTTGGTATATACAATTTTAAATAGTGTCCCCTCTCAAATTTCAAATTTTTCTAATTTCCTTTTTTTTTAAAAAAATAATTACATATATCCCTTTTTCAAGTATACAATATATTTTTCCTTTTCTAATTTTTGTTTCCTTTTTTAAAAAAATTTCTTTTTTCACTTAGGTATAATTATGTATTTTTCTATTTTTTTAAACTTATTTCTTTTATCAATGACATTTGTGATTGTATTTAATTAAAATATTATTAATTAATATTTTGATTCTTATATTTGTAACTATATTTTTTTTCAGTATTTATTTAGCATATTATTTTACAACTATTTTTTTCTTATTTATTTTTTTGATTTAAAAAAATTATACTTTCTATTTGTCATGTTTATTAATTTTTTTTTTTTTTTTTTTTTTAACAAGTACATTGTGCCCCTTTTGAAATAAAATTCTGACTCTGTCGGTTCGTAATATCAGTTGTGGTGTAATAGATTCGGACAAAATTACGAACGTATTGGACTTGAAAAAAGATCGGGTATCGATCAAAAAAAAATATATACAGTGTGACAAAAAAAAATTCACACATTCACTCACCATTTGGAACACTAATGTAATTAAGGTAAGGATCAAACTTCCCATGTGTTCGAGTCAGTGTCTAATTCGAGCCAAAGGGTGAGAGCTTATTGAAGAGGCCATAACGCGTGAAATTTGTACAGTGATGGAGTCGCAATATTTTCCAAGCTTTATTTCTGCGTGAAACCACGAGTGTAGGAACAAAATCTATAAATATAGAAGCGACGGCGAAAAACACGAACGCGAGTTTGTGTTTATAAACCCACTTATAAATAAACAAATTAATTACACATTCATTCAATTTTCACGAAGAAGAAGAAGAAGCAAGCAAAACTAGCCCTAAATCTCTACGGGTTTCTGGGTTTTTGCTGCTTCTTCTCCTTCACGACGCAATCTCTTGAAAATTAATCGTTGTAATCTCTAATCTCTACGAGTTTCTGGGTTTTTGATCTCATAGTATACTAGACAATATATATATATATATCACACACACACAAATTGTGCTTTTTATTCAATGGATGATTATATGAGTGATGATGATTACTACTTTGAAGCGGAGGAAGATGATCCTTTTGAATGGTCGAACGAGGAAGGTCCGTCGACTAAGGTAATCAAATTTTACCGGAACTCGACTTCTTTATTCTCTGTTTGTTTCCCGAGAAAACATTGGAAAATGGGAATCACCCAATTAAGGCATATGTGGGTTCGGATGATCATTAAGATATAATTACTTAATTGACTATTATAGCCAAGGATTTCTACAAAATTATGGTTGAATATGTGTTTCTAACATGAACATACAGAAATTTTGCATCTTTATCACACATACACACACAAAATGGGCTTTGATTGTGAATAAATTGAATGCAATACTTTACTTTTTTTAGTGCCTAATTCAATTCATATAAAAAGGGTCATCACCCAAATCCTATTCACTTTCTTGATTTTTTTTATTTTTTATTTTTTGTCATGGAGGAGAGATTGTATGTATATATTTTTATTTATATATAATGGGGATAGCTCTGTCTCAATCTTCCCCTTCAAATACCTCCTATAATGTATTAATTTGATATTTATTTTATAATTGTCTTTTGCCAATTGCAGGTAATCACAAAAGAGTCTCTTTTGGCTGCACAGGTGAGACTGTTTTCAAAGTTTTCACTCTTTTAATTACACACATGATTATGGATCCTTTTGCATATTTTTATGTTTACATAATGTATAATGCCTAAAATGTTGGTACTAACTTATGCAGAAAGTGGACTTGGAAAGAGTAATGGACTTGCTATCTCTGAAGGAACACCATGCAAGGACCTTGCTCATTCACTATCGTTGGGATGTCGATATGATCTTTGCAGTGTTTGTGGAGAGAGGGAAAGATAGCTTGTATGCTGAAGCCGGTGTAACTGTGGAGAACTTTGGTAATCTTTCCTTATCGGAGAGTTCATCCGAAGTAATGTGTGATATTTGCATCGAGGAACTCCCTGCTGAGGAGACCACAACTATGGACTGTGGTCATTGTTTCTGCAACAATTGTGAGCACTCTGCTATTAATAGTGAAAATTATGCATTTTTTGTTCAATTATCTGCTCTACAACTTCGAAAAAGTAAAATGCATGTTTTAGAAACCTATTCTGTCAAAACTAAACAGAAGAAGTCCTATAATATAACTTGGACATCTTTCGAATTGAAGGCAGACTTCTAGGAATCATACTCGAAGCTTTTGTTCAATTTATGGGATTTGATCATTAGTAGTTACTGTCTCAACTCTCAAGACTATTTCTGGTATCTTATAGGTTGTGATGTATCCGTCTTTTGAGGTATTGATCTTATAATATTGTAGTTAGTGTGGCTTTGAAGCTTATATTTTAGAACATTTAAACCCCGATTTCTGAATAACAAAAATCTAAATTGTTGTTTGCATCTCTTTGTTAAGGTTGGACAGAGCATTTTGTTGTGAAGATAGTTGAGGGTCAGAGTAGACGCATTACATGCATGGCATACAAGTGCAAAGCAATATGTGATGAAGGGAAAATCAGAAATCTAGTCAGTGCAAGGGATCTTGAGCTAGCAAATAAATTCGAACGCATTCTCATAGAATCATATATTGAGGATAATAACAGGGTAAAATGGTGTCCTAGTGTTCCTCATTGTGGAAATGCAATACGTGTTGAGGATGATGATTATTGCGAGGTTGAATGTACATGTGGTCAGCAATTCTGTTTCCATTGCTCATGTGAAGCGCACTCACCTTGTTCGTGTTTCATGTGGGAGCTTTGGACTAAGAAGTGCGAGGATGAATCAGAGACCGTTAATTGGATTACAGTCAACACGAAACCATGCCCTAAATGTCACAAACTGGTGGAGAAGAATGGAGGATGCAACCTGGTACAATGTGTCTGTGGACAATGCTTCTGGTAAGAATTCTCATCTATCCCTCACAACCTTGTTTCAAAATTTTTTTTCCCTCCTTGTATATGTTACCAACTCGTTCTTAATGGCATTTTTTGGATGAATGTATAGCCTAGATTTATAAGATCATTTGTGGAAATCGTCAATAATCAAGTCACGACTTACAGTATTCCATTTTTTATGATGACTGCTAGTTTTAGCTATTAAATGCATGTCCAATTCCAATATAGGTGATGCGTTGTGTCTATAATATTGATGTGAAAGACAGCATATGATAGTGAATCATATGAGATCCACTTTTATTTTTATTTACTATCTCTAAATTCAACTTATAGTCCTCTTTAAACTGATCCTTTTCCAACTTTGTGCTAGACTAATTGTTCTTAAGGATAAGTAGATTATCATTCTTAGGAGGGACAATGATTCAATAATAATAGATTTACTTGGTTAATAAAAAATTTAACATGGTTTTTGGGAAGCATGTGTGATAGTCCTACAAATCTTGTTTCCGTTTCTTGTTACTAAACTTCTTTTGGACAAAATGAAGTGATAATTGATTGACCTGATCTATTTATTTCTCCTGTAGTTGGCGGTGTGGTGGAGCTACAGGTTATGAACACAATTGGGTGGGCATTACCGGTCACAGTTGTGGACGATACAAAGAAGATGAAGTGACAAAAACAGAACAAGCAAAAAAGGAACTTCTCCGCTACATTCACTATCATAATCATTACCAAGCTCATATTGATTCTATAAAGGCTGAAGTTCAGCTGAAAGAAAACATGCAGGAGAAGATATCGAAATTGGAAGCACGGCTACCGGAAATTAAAGATTACCATTGGGTGACAGATGGAGTGTATAGACTCTTTAGATCAAGGGGTGTTCTTAAATATTCCTACCCATTTGCATATTACATGTTTGGTGATCATCTTTTTCAAAATGAGATGACAAAGAAACAGAGGGAAATAAAACAGAACTTGTTTGAGGACCAACAACAACAGCTTGAGTCAAATGTTGAGAGACTCTCTAAGTATTTAGAGGAGCCATTTGATGAATACGACGAGAATAAAGTTATGGAAACAAGAGATAAGTGCACTACTCTGGCTAAAATCAGTGATGATGGTTGCAAAAAATTGTAAGTGTCTCTAAAACTTCAATTTTGATGGAAAAAATGATCATCCATTAGTTTGTTATTAATTATTATGTCATATTTTGAGTTAATGTCCAAGGCTCGTTACTCACACTCACTCCTTAGTGAGTTAGTTCTGAAGCTCTCACTCTAGGACTAGTTGGCTACAAATGAACCCTCCTACCTATTCATGTTCATCCCTCCCTAATGGACAACTAGGATGCAATCTAATCTACAATGCAGAATTGATCTCCATACTTGTTTACTCTTATCTACACGTCTACAATGTTCTACTTATATCGATACTACTCTACATTGTTCGATCAATCCTTTTCTTGTTTCTTGGAGCTAGTCTAGTGTCCTCCACAAAACTCTAGATTCTTCTCTTTTCTGCGCGCACTTGTAGCATAACCTCCATCGGCAGATGATCATAACAAAAATAGACGGCGGCAGATGATCATAACAAAAATAGAAACTGTTTTTCTCCAAATGATTTTATTACAATTTAGTGTTTCTATAAACAAGTGAGCTCAATTTGATTTCTGGTATGACTAGAATTGAATTATTTTTGCTCATTTGTGATATTGAACTTTTGCAGGTATGAATGCATTGAGAATGATTTGCTCGGTCCACTTCAGCAAGCAACTCATATCATAGCTCCTTACTATTCAAAGGGTGTAAAAAAAGCATCACAACTCCCCGGAAACGATCAACAATAAATGCCAATAGGATACTCAACTCTTCTTATGTAGTGCATCATAACATTATATGATTTTTGTTCACCATAATTACTTCTTTATCTCAGCAAATAGTTCTCTTGAAGCAGATTAAAAGATAAATAGAAAGATTTTCACGGTTCGAGCTCAATGAGATTATATCATTACGCTTCAACTTCAAATATAAAGTAGACATCAAAATCTGCAATCTGCTTTCAAATCAATGAAGGCGGCAACACATTCATTTGTCCAATACTCGGAACATTAAATGCAAAGCTCACAACCTATAATTCCATAAGAACTAAATGCAGCTATATGTAAACAAGATTCTCTTCAATTTGAAGCAAACTCGAGTATAAATAAGGAAGTGACAAATGACACATGAGTAAACCACGAACTGTATTATAACAGCTCGCTTTTGCCCAGTTACTTTCTTCACCTGAATCCACTATAACAATAGTCTGAAACAGAAAAACAAGCTTATCGCAAAAGAAAAAGATTTAACCGAGAAGGAACGGTGGTTTGTTTTAGATATAACTGAACCTAAAGCACAATTGGGCTCGGTTACGAACTCTAGAATACAACCGTGTCAAGCATGGTGCCCAAAGTCTGAATTATGTTAGAAGACATCAAGTTGGAAACATGTTCTTCGAGGTGTTTCTTGGCATCCTGCCTTCCAACGTTTGCAATTGCTAGTTTTTCTGGCGGCAACTCGTCCTCTTCTTGCACTGCCTTGTTATATTTTATAGCCAAGTTTAGCATTTCCTGCATGTCCCAAAAATAAAAAATAAGACATAATTGACACACAGAGATACCAATCAAAACACATCTTCACATCTAGCAATTCTCTAAACTTCTGAACTGATGGTCATTCTTCGTGGCCGTTCAATCAATGGGCCTTGCAGTCATCCCATAAAAGGAAATGGTAAATGATAAATTATATCAGGGATTGGTTTCTTCTTGCACTTTAACCTATTGAGGTTTACACATGACTGGCTGTTGCAAAACTAGAAAGAGATGATCTAATACCTGTGGATGACAGATGATCCAACTCAAAACAAACTTAAGGGGGCAACATAGACAACTAGACAGGTAGAGTAGAAATTTTGACAGATCACTAGAGTCTGCCCCCAGAATTAGTAATTCACATAATCAAGAAGAGTAGGAGATTCATAATTCAGCTGATCTGCTGAAGACCTTGTATCTCTAGTATGAACTGACACCACATTGTGTCTTTACTACATCACAGTAACAAATTTTGGGCAGCCCAGCATTGGCAAACATGTTGGGTAACACCACTCGTGTCTCTACTTTGTCCCAGAGGTACCAAATGCAAAACAAAGACAAAAATTGTTCAAAACACTTATTCATTAGATATTCACTTACCTGAACGGTCTGCTCATTGGTTTTGGAATGGGTATCAAAACGCTGAAGTGTCAACCCATCAGTCCATTTCTTCTTGTGAAGATTCAATAACATCTTCTCCTCAAGTTCATTCTTCCTGTAATTAATGGCAATAGAGTAATAGTGCCTGTTCAACCCATGGATCAATGCCTGAAGAATATATCAATCATCAGAGGACAAAGATCAAATGCAAACAGAACAGCTTCCAGAGAAAAGGAATACACTATTAGCTGAAACTCACTTGAATTGATGGTTTATTAAGATGCCCAAGGTTGGATGTTGTCTGCCTTGGCTCTTGGCCAAGCATCATAGTTTGTGGATTAATCAAACGGAAGGCATCAATCACCACCTTCCCTTTAACACTCTGAATCGGATCCACCACCACTGCTACAGCTCGTTGATTCAGAGCTTCAAAACTCTGCCATTTTACAGATGCCAGGAAATCAAGTGCTTCAGAATCACCAAATACAAATAAATTTACAAAATTTTGAAGGAAAAAAGAAAAATCCCCTTAAACTCTTGTCAAATACAAGAGCATCATTAACATAGAATCAATAGAAGCCATACGAAGAGTTCATAAGATTTCCCCTTCACAAAACCACTCCTAACTGGGAAAAGTCCTATCTACTTGATATCATGAATGCCAAATTAACATCATATATGAGGGACATTGCATCAAATTCCTGCAGAGTGTGACCACTTCTTCTCTTCTGTCCTGAATATCCAACTAAATTGAAACTAGAAGAAGAAGTAGTTAGCTCTCAGTGAGTCAGTGTGCATGTGCACAAGCATGAGATCAGGTTTTCGAATCGTGATAATTTGCAACCAGAACATTTAGATGAGAGAAGAAAACAAAATCACAGCTCAAGCTTAAGTAAGAAGTTAGAGGAGGAGGAGGGGTGGGCAGATTTAGTAAAGTGGAATGTATGGAGTTCTACAGTTTTCTCATATTCTACACCAACACCTCCATTAGATGGACTCTTCAAAAGTAGTGAAGTACCCATATGGGTATGGGATATGTGTCCGGCACTTTTGGTCGGACATGTACTTTAAAAGCATAGCCAATCATTCAATTACATTATATTATTCCTTTAAAATGAGTTAAATGCCTATATTGAATATTATATTAGATAAAAACATTACTTTACTGTAGAAAATAAAATAAAATAATTAATAAAATAAATATTTAGCCATGTCCGTGTGTCCTTCTGTTTGGAGATTTGACACATCCAACTCATGGATACACAACCGTGTCCGACACCCGTACCCGAGTCCATGTAACATAGACCAACACTATTTTTCACTCGCATAAAATGGGGAGTCTCAGATGCCAATGGCAATCTTTGTAACATTGCTCTCTCATAAGTTTCAATAAGTTGAAATGGCAGCCCTGACTTATCGTTTTCACTATATTTTGACCTGAAATATTCATTCTTAGGCAAGGACATCCACAATTATTCACAACTTCACATAGTTATAACTAATTCCAGTTTCTTTTAATTTTTCTACGTATTGCCCATGCCTCGGTATCCTATATATCTAACAGACATCAGTAACCTCTCTCTCTACCTCCTATCTTAACATAACTGTGTGAAGAAGATCTAGCCATCTTAAATGTTCCCCAGACAGATAAGACCAAAGGCAAAGGAAACAACCCTATTTCCAAATGTGCACTCATTACATTTGAATATAAACTTTTCCTACTGATAAGCTTTCAACAATAGAATCTTGAAGGTCTACCAGCACATAAATCACTTTATCAGCTCATCTTTGGACACAGAACTCCAACACCATTTAACTTTAATAGAGAACATGAGAATGAACACCCCAAAGAATTTCTTCTAAATAAAGAAATTATGAAAAAACTCTCAAAGTCGGCTACAATCGATCGAAATGAGGCGGTTGCAGCTCAGAATTGTGGATAAAGCCTAAAAGATATTTTTGATGACACGTCAGCTTCGATCTGAATCCCTTTTTGCCCCTCCTCTGAGAGATTTTTCTTCGACATTGGAAAATCTCTAAAGTAGTAGCGCACCAAAGCGCCGAGAGTGGCTTTGCGTGTGTGTAATTGGAAAAAAAAAAAAAAAACAAAAAAACAAAAAAATTGAGTTTCACAATGCTTATACAGAACAGTTTAAGATACACTAAAACTTATAGCTGTGGAAATTGTCAATAGACAAAAAGAAAAGTAAAAGTGAAGCCAACTGCAACAAAGAACGCAGTTATGAAAAAAATGGCAACAATGCGGACACAAAACATTCTCAAAAGACTAAGGAGTAAGGACACATATGCATTCATATATAGAATACTACAAGAAATATGTAACGTCAACCTTATGCTTTTTTTTATCTATTTAGGATAGGACTTGTACATCTTTATAATACTATCCGAATATCAACCAAAACTATATAACTATACTACCAAAGGCAGCAATATACCTGTTGAGTATTAATGTCAACGCCAGAGAGCCAACAGCCAAAGCCAGGATGCGAATGATACCATCCGACCACCATCTCTGGTCTGCAATGCCAAGCAAAACAAGTTAATTCCGGCAAAAAATAAAAGATGAAAACATGAAACAGTTTCTGTTACAGAAAAACAGCATGTACAACAAAAAAACCATATGTCGATTATCAAATGAAGAGCAACCATGTGTGTTGGGATATAAAAGCCTCAATCACTCAGTAAATATTTTTCTTCAATCAAAAGATTAATCACAAAAATCCAATGCAAATTCACACAATCTAACAGGAGCAGCCAAAAAAAAAAAAAAAAAAAACTATTAGTTCTTAAACTAAACCAGAATTTTGGCTTGCTAGGATTCAGGGAATAACTGAAACTACAAAAGAAAACATAAGATAGGGCCTAGATGATATAGTCGCAATTCCATCGAATAACTATTATGAAGTCGGCTGAAGGAAAATTACATAAGGTAATATCAAGAAAGGCTAAGTTAGAGATAAAGGTGAAGAATGTGTCTTCCGTATTCAGGGGGGGAAAAAAGAAGAAGAAGAAGAAGAAGAAGAAGAAGAAGAAGAAGAAGAAAGAGAATGTGTCTTCCATGGGATCACACAAGAAATGAGAAGCAAAGATCTCCACTATAAAAAAATTTAAGAAGGATATGTGGAGGCTAATTTAATTAGAATGAATGTAGCTTTCTGCATTAACATTTCACCAGTACTTAAAATAAAATTTAATGACCTAAACAACATTCATAACCTCGGAACAATGCCCAAACCATGTTGGCCTACCTTAAGAAGGAAAACGAAAAATACTAGGATCTTTGCAAGAGTTTGAAAGCTTATGTACAAGCATCATGAAGGAGTGGCCACTAAAGCATCCATCTTTTCTTTTTCTTTCTAAACATAAGGAGTTATTGATTATTATTAAAGCACATTTAGTTGAAATGATTTTCAACTCCATCTATGTTTAATAAGTTAGTGAATACCTTCATCTCTATTCCATGAGACTTCATGGAAAAAGTCGAAGGATTTTCTTCCTGCTTAAAGTTACAACTGAATTTAGTCTGCAACATCCATCTATATTTCATACCATCTTGACAAAAGATTTGTTCCCACGTACCATAGACCCCAATTAAGTCATTGATTGTTTCCTACCCTTGTAAAAAATGCTGTTAAAATTTATCGAACTGGTTTCAATTCATTGAGATTTTTTCCCATGTCTCACTCTCTCAACTTCAGTTAACAAACCCAAAGCTTACTACATTTAGGCTTTCAAAGAGTATGTATTTCCAGGCTGCCTTGTGACAGGTGTTCAAGTTCTATGTTTATTGTGTAAAAATATAGACCTCTTTACCCACTTCGAACTGCTCAGTGCTTCTTACATATCCCAAAATCCCCTAAACTGTACTTATCTATTTTACGGCATATTCTCATCACGTGATGCTTTGCTGGCTATAATATAATAGCAGCCAGTCTAAATTTTCCAAATTTATTCCTTATTGAGCAGAAGTACATCTATCATTATATTTTGATTGGCTAACTTACAATTATAACCACCATTTGCTTCCAATCCCTGAGGGTATAAAACCTTCTACAGAAGGACAATGATCCAGCTATATCTTTTTTCCTTAAGAATAGGAATGTCAGATGAACCCCAATAGACACTCCCTGCCACCATCAATGAAACCCCAGAAACACAATATTAAAATATGCAAGAAGAGGAGGATATTCCGGAATTGTTCACATGATGGGTAGAATTGTCTTCCTGTACAAATTTTATGCTGCTGTTTTTATTTCTTAAATTCTATGGTGCCTTGTCCATAATCTTAACTGGTGAAAAAAAAAAAAATTGCCTCTAATTGCCCACCCACCCTGTCCCTATCAATAATAAAACATTGATTTCCATTCTTTTCTCTCCTTTATCTTTCTCAAAGAAGAGGATGTTAACAATTTAATATCCTTGATTCTGAACAAGCATGCTTAATTCCTATAATTGGGACAGACAACCTTGACAGCAGTTGAATTTCATAGGCTTCCAATCTATGACTCTTGTATGCCTGAGCTAACTTAATTATGATCCCCATTGACATCAACACCTCGCACACCACCAAAGATCAATCAAGAATTGTTAACTAAACCAGCAAAAATTCCCACACTCTATTCCCAACCCTGAAGGCCATTCGATTGGTAAAGAAAACATAGACCAAAAGGGCATTGGGATAATTTACAGGTGTCCAACAAAACAGATAATCAATATGTGCAGACTTGAGCTTCATCTTGGACCGTTCATTGTTATCTTTTTTCTTCCAAATTGGGGAAAATATTATGCATGTTTATGTATGTTAAGAAAATATAATAAAAAATTGATCTTTCCATAAATGTACAGAACTAAAACAATCAATAATGAAGTAAAAAGAGTAATACCTTCCAGTTTGTTTGAGCATATCAAGCATATTGGTCTGGAAAACATGATCAACCGCTTCGACACTGACGCCAGTACCACTCTGCGGCATCGCAAAGACATCGACAACACGAACTGTGTACTCATCCACGAATTCACCTAGCATCAACCCCATCACTTCCATAGGAACTCCAGCTCTTCCTTTTAGTCCCAATTCCCCAAATAAAAAAGAAATTAGATAAGTGAACACTAATTAGGTTTTTCAAATTCCAAATCTGTATTCGATAAAACCCTAAAAATTGAAACAAAAAAGGAGTGTTGGTATAGAAAAGATTACCGTGTTTGAGCATTTTGAGGAGGGCAAGCGAGGATATGTAAACTTGTTCTGACGAATCGAGTGTAGGAGAGTCCGGTGGTGGGTGGCCCAACGCCCCTCCGGCACCGGCGAACATTCTCTGCAATCTCTCCATCCCCGACATCTTTTTCTCTCTCTGATCAGAATTTGATTTCTTTGGTAGCAAGCCTGCTAGGATTGCTTTAACTAAAAAAACAAAAGCCTGCTAGGATTGGTAGTAGTATATGACAGATGTGCGTATGTATTATATGTAGTAATTTAGTTTTGCAAGGACTTACTATTTGGGCCTGGGCTGCAATAATGGACTTACTAGTTGGGCCTGTTCTCCTCTAGTTTGGGCCTGGGCTGCAATTACCCATTTATAGGCCTGTATAGTTTATATGCACATTTACCTTTTTTAAAAATAAAGAAATAAAAGAAAATGTTTTTTTAGGCCAATTTAAAGTTTTTTTTTTTTTTTTTTTTTTTTTTGGTTAAGATAAAAAAATTTAAAGTGATTTGTTTGACGGAGAAGATATAAGTGGTCATGTATGTAAATATAAGGTATTGGAATTCATTTCCTCATATTTGGAAAAAATAATTGATTAAAAGTTTTTAATCAAGCAATTCACTTTACCTAATAAAATAAAGATATATATTGTATTTATATGGGTAAAGTACAAAAAATCCTCCTATTATATAAAAAAATGTATAAAAAACATCCCTATTAAATATTATATGCATATAAATCCCCCTATTATCATAATTTGGAACAAATTGCCCCCTATTCTCCAATTTTGGACAATTTTTCTTCTAAACCCCCAAAATACCCTTAAGAGAATTTTATATTATATATATAATTTTTTGTTTCTTTTTCATCTCTACAATATGAATATTAAAAGATTGCTTAATTTGAAGTTTCCAGTCAAAAGTTGTGTTCAAAATATTAAAGCAAATTCAGAGTTTTCATCAATGCTCAAGCCGGAAGTGGTAGTGTTAGATCCTTCTGATTTGTGCTCTAGCCTTGAAGCTCAGGCTCGAGCACTTATAAAAGCACTCAGAGACAGTGACTGAATTAACAGAGACATTAACCCAATTGATACGCAGGAAAAATTAACAACGAACTATAGAAATGAAAAAGAAAATAAAAATTACCCGACGACCATGGAGTCCGACGATAATGGAATGTATAATGGTAAATCCATGGGTTCAAACACAACAATCGACCACCATGGATTTCGGCGACAAGATGGGTGTTTGAATGACGAACACGAAATCCATTCCGGCCAAACTGCGTCTTGCATCCATTGATTCCGTCTTGCATTAATTGATTTCGTCAGCACAGTAAGATAGCGTTAAAGAGGCGACCAATAACTCTACTCTTCTCTAAAAACTCGCAAAGGAACCCAGGACGAACAATGCTTTTCAGATTTGTCACGAGGTCTTAAAAATCCGGCCGCCGCCAAACACCACCGGTTCATTACTGCTTGTCCCCACTGATTTTCAACCATTAAATACGCCCACCAAAAACCACCCAAAAAAATATATATATATTTTTTTAAAGAAAAAAATACATATATTTGATAACCCATCAATTCTATATTACAATTAAAATTAGTAGGTAAGATGCAGCATTAATGAATTTGTGGTGTTTTCACTTATTTGAAGAAATTCTGTGTGGATCGCGATCAACTCAACAATTGATTTCCCGTCCCAAAACGCTATGATGTGATACCTCTGGCAAGGGATTTGTGTATAATGTAAAGGAAAATTATTCATGGTTTTGCAGGAGTTTAGATTTGAGTAAATATATATGGCTAAAGTTTTATTTTATTTTATTTTATTTATTTAAAGTGGAATGTCTCCCACTGATGAGAGAGAGATGGAAGAGAAATTGCGAGAGAGAAACGAAAGGGTAGAGAGAGAAATAGACAAAAGAGAGCGAAAAAAAAAAAAAAAAAAAAAAAAACTGAAATATTTATTTTTTTATTTTTATTTTGATTTAAGGGTAATTGAGGTATTTCAATCTTCAATTTGAGTAATTGTCCTTATTTGTACAATTTGAAAAATATAGGGAAATTTTTTGAACAACAAGGGCTATTTGCACAAATTGTATATAACAAGGGGGTTTTTTGCACTTAACTCTATTTCTATTTATGCCAGGTGAATTTTGATATCATATTTTGAACTTTCTACACCAGTGCCCCCAAATTTTGGTAATATTATAATTTTGTGGGGATGAACTGATGAACATCTTGGACCTGGCATTTTGTTTTCTTTAATATGTTTCCTTTGTTTTGAAGTTAAAATATTTTTGTATGGTAAAGTAATTTTCATGTAGAAGTCTAAAAAGCTAGAGCTTAATTTGGGTGGTTGAAGGCAGGGCAGGCTCGAGCCTTAGGTCACTTAGGCGGTCGCTCAAGGCCCCAGTCAAAAGGAAGGCAATTTTTAAAATTTCTTTATATTAAGTTATACTATAATTATTTCTTAATATGGTTAAACTCTAATAAATATAAAAAATTATATTAGGCCTTAAAGATTTATATCCTAAAATAATTTAGATTACTATTATTTTTTTGTCAATCCCACTCGTTTCAATTTTATATTAGGCCTCAAAGATTTATATCCTTATATGACTTTTTTTTCCCTCCCTTTTTCAATTCTCATTTACACTAACACTAAAAACATTTTTGAGTAAGTTATACCAACACTAAAATATTAAATATTTATTTAATGTTGTTGTTTGGAAAAAAGAAAAAAACTTTCCATTTTTTTTAAAAACATTTTATCTTCTTCTTTTTAGCAAGTCTTGTCCTCCTCATCTCATTACAAGTTTACAGTTGTTATGAATGCATTTTTATTCTATTTAAAAATTTGTAGAAGTATTGGATTTGGGTTTTTTAAATCAGGTTCAATGGTTCTTTTTCTTTCATTATTTTTTAATTTTATTAATTTTTGTTATTATAAATTTGTGTGAATATTTGTATATTTTGTTTTTGAGTTATGACTAATTTTATTTATATTTTTGACCTAAGATCTCAAATTAGATTAACCCACCTCTCTATTGTATCTTTCTATATAAGTGGGGTTTCTGTAACTATCATACTAAGTTTAGGTATTCTAATGATTTCAGGGGTCTCAGTCTTATCAATATGCGCTTATTCTTAACCATGCAAATTATGAAGAGGGAGAATATGGACTAAGTAATATCCAGAAAGCATAAGGTGACTGAAAATTACAAGTAGATATATTTGTAATTACACAACTCTTTATTGTATCTTTCTATATTGGTAGGACTTCTATAACTATCTTACTAAGTTTAGGTCTTCTAATAATTTCACACATCTGTAACTATCACACTAAGTCTTGGTCTTTTAATAATTTAACGCAAGTCTTAGTCGTATCAATATGCGTGCAAGAGCAGCTGGGCCTTAGATGATTTAGGAAACCTAATACCTCAGCCAATAAGAAGGCCTCAATTTTTTTTCTTATTGCTTTATATTATATTCTTCCTAAAATTTTTATTTCCTTCTTATTATCACTTCAGCCATTATAAATGCCCCAAAATTTGTATTTCCTTATATTATAACTTTTAATTTTTTTATTTGTTTATATTATAACCTTCCTAAAAATGTTATTTCCTTCTTATTATTAAATTTTGTCTAATAGAAAGGCTCCAATTTTTTATTTTTTATTTTATTTCCTTATATTATAACCTCTTTAAATTTTTTATTTGTATCGATTTCTACCCTAACTAATAGAGATTTAATAGGGGCCAAAAGATTTCTATCTTTATTTTAACTATTTTTTTTCTCTTTCTTTCTCAGCTCATTCACAATTTATTTATTTATTTATTTTTATTTATTATTTTTTTTGGGCAGATTTTGTAAAACTTTCCATATTCTTATTTTAACTTTTATCTTCGTTTTTTTTTTTTTTTTTTTGTTAGGTCACTTTTATATTTTTCGCTTAAAGCCTCAAATTATATTGAACTACCCTTGGTTGAAGGAGAAGGCAACTTTGATTGTTCTTGTGGAGAGTTCGGTTTGGAGTAGCCCTTGTTTATTGGGCAGAGGGCAGAAATTGACTTGCAAAATGAAACATATGCCTTTAATTAAACTACCATTTTTACCATATTTAATGGCTTATAAATTTAGTGCCTGAGGACCCGAAAATGTATTTTTAATTATAACCGTAAACTTTCAGCATCAATCCTTACATCATGTCAGTACATACAGCATACCTAACATATATGGATATGCAAAGAATTAATAAAGATTATATAGAATTACATCATTCTGACCTAAAAGAAATTACAGTTTATTTATCCTTCAAACAAGTACAGCTACTTTGAGCCGGTGTTGATGCTTGGTGATTTTAACTCACGGACTCTTCTTTCATCCGAAAGTAACTTTGCAAACCTGTTATAAGTTGGAAGAAGAACAGATATATATGATTAGTTTATGAAATAGTTTCTTAAAACAACTACATTTCATATGTATGTGTGAAATAAATTGTTTGATTGTTTATATATATGTAGTACTTTTTCAGAGCCTCCCCATTTGTGCCACCATTTTCAACTGGCACACTAAGACCTGTTCCAAGATTCACCGTTGAAACCGGTTTCTTCAGTAGCCCTTCGCCAACTTTCACAAGTTTCTCCAAATTCTCTTTCGTTGCAACATCAACCGAAGCATCTGTTCCAGTTAATGTGTCGTCCTAGTTTTGCAAATAAATGTACACATGTTATTATTTCGACCCAAAAAAAAAAAAAAAAAAAAAAAAGAGGTAAAATCGAATTTGTGCAAGCATACTTGAATTCGAAGATAGTTATCTTCAGAATGGAGAGCTTGGAAAACTACGGAAATGTGGAAATCAACCATATCAGCACTTGCTTGAGTAAACACATCCACTAATGGAGTGGAGCCTCCGTGGAGTAACCAACCCAAAATTCCCCATTTGGCTGCCATTTTAGCATTGTACTTATGCTCAATCTTTGATGACCCAGTGCCAATTGATATCACCAGAAACCGGCCATAGTCCATGGCCTTAACGGGAAAGAAATCTGCATTTTCGTCGAACACCTGGTTGGTTACTTGGCTTATGGCAAGTAGAGCCTGAAACAATGGTCAAATTTGCAAAAGATATTAGCTATATAAAAAAATTATTAATTATTAATTATTAATCAATCAAATGTTTCAATGTTTCCAACATTATCAATTAATGGTATAATTTTTATCTTCTGTAAATAATTTGTGGTCTAATTTAGTCATGTGCATAAGTGTCGTTTCTATAAAATTTTATAGGAATTATACCGGGTTATTTGCAGCAACTCCACCATCTATGAGATTGAATTCACGAACTTTTCCTTGTTTGTCTTCATTCTTGAAGTGATGAGCCGGTAGATAAGTTGGAGCTGCAGAAGTGCTTATACAGATATCGGATAATCGAGCATCCAAACATGGGTAGTTTTTGGCCTGCATAACATTCAAATTTCTGTTAGGCCTATGACTATTCAACTTGCTAGCTTGTGTGCAAATCTGTGTCCATCTTGTTTGAACTTTGAACTTGCCTTGATTATCTTCTTTCTTATGATTCAAACCTACCACTTGATTATCTTCTTTCTTATATATATATATATATATATAGAGAGAGAGAGAGAGAGAGAGAGAGAGGAGGGGTGATTTATATACATATATACCTCATAGGAAGAGAAAATGGTTGGCTGCAAATGCTTAATATCAAAAGTTGGAATAACAACCGTGGTCAAGGTGTCATGCAACAGTGTGTCTCCTAGTTTTTCCCTTATAAGCCTGTGAAGGTACTTCCCATTATATTTTGGTCCTGTTAATGACTTTAACACATTCCTAATTTTTCCACATATGCCCCTGCCATTCCAACCAAAATGATATCATTAGTTTCATACATACATACATATATATATATATACCAAACACCAAAGAACTATAAAAAAATGTAAAGCAATTATAATGAATCCAAAGCAAATTATATAATAATCAAAATTACCTCTTTTGTGGGAAAATCTTAGGAGAATGCTCTAGGTAAAAAGTCTTGATATCTTTGGCAGCATAAAGTGGACGGTTATTTTTATCCGGAGCAGTTAACATTGCAGTCACGAGGCCACCAGTGCTCGTTCCTGCCATCACATCGAAGTAATCTGCAAGTCTCGCATCCTCTCCATCCAGCTCCTACATATTCCAGCACCACCTTCTTAAACACACACACACACACAGACACATATATATATATGCAACTCCAATATTTCATACTATATCGATCACTTGCCACTAAAATTAAGAAACCCAAGCTAGTCCAAATCACAGTTATTGACATGCAGTCATGCATTAATGGAATAAGATATGTAATGCATTAATTATCCTGACTATTAATTTGATATACATACATATAAGAATCTAGTTTATATATAAGTTATTTTAACATGCAAGTGTGTGTGTATATATAGTTTGTGAATTATCTATGGTGATCCATACTTAATACTAGTAAGTGTATATATATATATTATATAATATATATATATATATATATATATGGTAAGAGATTTTGAAGGAACAAGCAACCATAGTCTCTCTCTCTATCTAGTATGTATGATCATTACTTGTAATCTAAAACGAAAAGAAAGAAGAAATAGAAATATGGTACCTGAAGTTGAGATTCTAGATAGGCAAGGATAGTGGCAGGAATGATCCCTCTGATGCCACCTCCATCGATGCTGAGAATGGTGATTATGTTTCCATATGTTGGAGGCTGAATCTGAACAAGGGATGACTTCGTTCTATCCATATATATATATATATATATATATATATATAGAATTTCGATGTTCAAGTATATATTTGTTTGCTGATAGCCTTTTATGTATATATATACACACACACACACACACACACAACACCAAGAATACTACTAGTAAAGAGGTACTTAAGCAATATATCAGAAAGCTAGAGCGTACACAACAAAGAGAGAACAAGTTCCGGAGTTCTGGTATTCAATATAAGTAGTGCTGGATAGGATATGCTCTGTTTATATAGGCTTCAAGCTGGGGCAAAGCTTTTTTCCTAAATTGCCGCCCATGCGTCTAATGGAGCTTGACCGATGAAAACTTGAATACCAATTAAGAAAATTAGAGGAATTACATGCATGCACGTACGTACAGGTCAAATCTTAGAATCACTCTAACCAAATCCAAACTACTCTTCATAACATTTTAAACAAGCTCAATTTTTTCTCACGCAAGAAAATTCTTATCATCTTCAATTTACTTAGAATATATATATATATATATATATATATATATATATATATATTCTAAGTAAATTGAAGATGATAAGAATTTTCTTGCGTGAGAAAAAATTGAGCTTGTTTAAAATGTTATGAAGAGTAGTTTGGATTTGGTCTTGTAGTATTTGAAAGTAATTTATTAGACTTAAATATATATCCCACCTTCCTTAGAAGTGCGTGACGAACAAACATCGATCAGCGGGTGTAGCTTTTGGTGGTTGACATTAACAATTTAGGAAGAATGTTTTCACGCGCTACAAAAGGGAAGTGAAAGTGGAAACTGAATATTGTCGTACAATGATTGGAATTGGTCAATTCCGCTTGTGTGGCTGGTCTGATGACCTGTCATTAAATAAGGTTTTATCTTTACAAAAAGGATCAAGACTAGGGGGTACTGATATGCCACGTGGAGCTTAGGGTCAAATTCTGCAATTATCTTGTCGAATCAAATTGCAGTAGCAACATGCAGATTTGATTTTATTTTTTATTTTTTATTTTTTATTTTTTCAGAAAATAATGGTATCTAAATTTCAAATGTGGACTCTCGCGGGTAAATCTAACAGTAAAATTGTAAATTTTATTTTTGGAAAAAGATTTTCCACAATGTTGTTGGAGAGATTAAAATTTTTTTTACTTTCAACTTTGAAAATAGGGGAGAGAAGACATGCCACATTAAAAGGATTATACTAAAATTTAAAGTTATGATATTCAAGTCCTAGGTCTACTAATAACAGTAAAATAATAAAAAAAATTATTTTTTCACAAATCTTAAAAAACATGTGTTTAATAAAAAGAACTCTTTTAATAACATTACCAATGTGCTAATGAGCTAATCCTTGTAATTGAAATTTTGATGACATTAACAAATGGCAATAGTTTGTGGAGGAAGTTGATCCAAATTTATAAATAAAAAAAATAGAGTGACGTGACCAACAAAAATTTTTTTGTATTGGTGATACCATATCATCCATGTCACCAACTGAATATATTTTGTCAAATAAGTAAAAGTTTTTTATTTGGTAACCTAATTAGTAGAGTGTCCAGGTTCCCGAGCAAGTATGCCTGTGTTCGAGTCCTTCTTCTCTAAATTAGTACTTTCATTCATAATACGAAAAAAATATAAAATTTTTAAAATAATAAAATTTAAAATATATTATGGACTAATACGAGGAATAATATAAAATTTTAAATAGCAAATATTTAGTTCTAAACTCTAAATTAGTACTTTCATTCATAATTACGCGGTGAAAATGAATAAAAATAATTATTTTTTATATATATAATAAAATATTATATATATATATATATATATATATATATATATATATTTATGTATATCGTATTCATATCTTATTTTCTTTTTTAAATTTATAGTATCACCGTGTTTCTACGTGACGAAAACGCCTCGCGTCCGTGATTAGTTATGTGCCATTCTCTAAGCGATGAAATGGCACCTGAATTAAGCTTAAGGTCAACCAATGCAAAGTCCTAGTCGAATTAAATGTTAGGCACGCATGCATGTTTTAACATGAGAAAATAATTATCTAAATTTACGTTTTGCTGCATAATACATTGCGAATCACATTGTATAATTCAATTTTTCGCGGCTTAATATGCAATTAATACTTCGTTTTTAAAAGAAAACTATCTTTATTTTGTATTTTTTTTTTAACAAAACTCACACCTCACTTTTTTCTTATACAATTTAATCCTTTAGCCTCTATTTTAAAGTTTAAAAAACATGCCACTAATTATAATCTGGTGATTTGCAAAACTTTAATTGGAAAATGTAATCTAAATTCTAAACAACACGGGATTTATCTCAGTTGAACATTCTAATTGATCCTTTTTTTTTTTTTTTTTTTTTTTTTTTTTTTTTTTTTTTAATGTTTATCACCAAAACCTTGAATTGATTGATTGCCTTCTAAATAAAGTTTTAGAAATGAAAGTCAAAATTGACAAAATAGTTAGGTAAGTTAATTAATGTAGCATTTGACATTACATTTGTCTCCACCATAAATCACACCGTATGTACAGAAATATTATAGATTACTTGGAATATTTTGTCACGTCTTTAATTATTATTATCATTATTTTAAACACGTTAATGATGAGGGCACGAACTCATCGTAAGCGAGATTGTCACGTCTTCACGAACTCATCGTAAGCGAGATTGTCACGTCTTCACGAATTCATCATGAGCGAGATAACCATCGTTATAGAATTTTTCCCTTTATTTTATTTTATGAGAGCTATTTGGATGACACGTTTTGGATATATATATGAAAAATAATGCATGCATCATGTCATCTGTTATACTACTAATAAAATGAGATCACATATGCTTATTAAATAGGACAATTCAACTTGGTCAAATTTGATTAAAAAACCGTAAAAAATTATAAAAGTTTTATCCAATCATATGATATACCATAAATAAGATTTGATCATGAAATTTTAATCAGCGTCGTCCCATTCTTATATGATTTTTTATCAAATGGTCATATACATGCATACATATGAGATGCGCACACAGTTTATGGACATATGAGATGCACCTTGACCTTGTTATATTAATCTTTTATAGTGAACCGCATGCATGTACTGTTATATAGTGTGTGTGTGTGTATATATATATATCATCGCCGTCTTTATCCCATAGATCATGAATTTTCATTTTCCGTTCCAACCTATAATACACCAAATCTTTTCCTAAATTTAAAATTTTCAAGTAATTTTTAATTACTTCAATCTACTTGAGTTTTGGTGGGCTTCTTTTTATAGGTGCATCATCGGAATTTTCTGTAGCTTTTTTGGTAAAGAGAAAAATGGAAAAGAAAAGATAAAAGAAGCTAGAGATATAGTTGATAATCGATGAGGTTTTTGTAAATTGTTTGGTAAAAGTGGGTGGAAAATGAGAGCTAAAAATATATTCTCTTCTATTTTGACTATTTTTTTTTGTTAAAATTCTATTTTGACTATTTTACTCCACAGAATATGATACTCTATATTTTCTTTTAATTTCCACTTCTCATTTGAAGCGATTGAAAACAGTCTCTAATTAAACAAGAGTTATGCAGTAGTATTTATTGAGCAATAAATTTTTTGAATTTATTTTAGCCTGAATAAATATAAAAAAATTTGGTACTGAAATCATAAACTCATAATAATAAATGTATCATGTAATAAAAAATTATCAATGCCTTTTTTTCTAATTAAACGAAGCCTTTTGTGTTTTTTCATTCTATCATGTACCATATCAGTGTGTATTTGAGATAATCTAAAAAACAGTTATACTATGCACGATGAGGGTAAAATACGATATGGACATTGTACAACTCTCAAATAAATACGGCAAAAAGAAATAAAATAATATATTAATAAATATAAATAATAATTTTTTATCATTTTATTATGAATATAATCAGGAATGAAATCATTAATTAGGAGATGTTTGTTATTTTTGTTTTGTTAAATTTTATATTATTTTTTATTATCATAATATATTTTAAATTTCATTTGCTTTAACAATTGAGAGTAATGTCTTAAAAGTGTCCAAAGTATTATTGTGGTATTCACGTCATATCCATTTAAAAATTAAAATACTCAAAATTAAAGATATTATTTTATAAATATAAATTTTTGGATCGTATCTGACAAGTGTTAAAGCCGTATTATCTTTTTATTAAATAGAAAATTATGGAATGCATTTGCCTATTCCATGCGGTATGTATCATTCTATCCTTATTCTATAAATTCTGGTTAGAGACCTCGCCCCTGTCATTGTCAGTGGTCCATGTAAGTTGTCTATCATCGAAGAAGATGGTCCCATATGGTTTGCTTCTTGTTTTGTTTCTCTTTCTTTTTGTCTTTTTTAATTTTCTGTTATTTAATAAAACTGAAAAATAGATATTGAAAATTTTAATTACAGGATTTTAAGTGTTGAAATTTAAAGTATTTATTACAAAAATGAGAGAACTTCTTTGATATTATTTTTCTTTTTTTTTTCAAATTTTAAATTGTTCAGCATTTAAAGGTAAATAATGTGTGTATTGCTTAATATGTTATCTCATTTTAAGTGACATATTTTTAAGTGATATTTAAATTTTGTTATTAAAAATATTCGATCAAAAAAAATATTTAATTTGTTAATAATAAAGTGTTAAATTGAATTATCAAATCAATGTTTAGAGCGATAATAATAATTATTTAAAAAAAAAAATCAATGATGTTCATGATCCCATGTCTGAGTACAAATGAAATTCAGTAATCACATTATGTGTGTCACTGATAATGGAATGCTTTCACTACCTATGGTTGGGTTATGTTCAGCCATTACTTTGCTTGAATTGTTGCGCTTTGGAAAGAATTTAGAGAGCTTCCTCCCTAGAAGAGTACTGTGCTCTTCACATTTAACCACCCCGCGACAATTTTTTGAGATTCGTGAAAAGGTAAATAAATTATTTTATATAGGGTTAAATGTTCCGACACCCTCTTAAGTT